TTGGTCAGGGCACATACAAGAATCAATCAATGAATATATATATAAGTGAAACAACAAATCATTGTTTCTCTCTCTCAAAAAAACAGAAATAAAATAAAAAATGAAAAATAATTTGCCTAAAAGAGCAATTAAAGGCTGATTATTTGCTTTAGTAAAGGAAAATAACTATTAGAATCCTTTAAATATCTGCTTAGTATACTTGAAATCATCTATAGAAATTCAATTTACATAACAATAGCAATATTTCACCTCATTAGTTAAGATATACTTTTGGACAAAAGAAGATTAAGTTTTACTCTGGTCATTTTTGTTTTGGGCAGACTTCAGTAGGAAATAAAAATCAGAATTTGATTTAGAAGTGACTTGGACAACTAGGTCTCAGCACAAACCCATATTAAATTCCAGACAATGGTACTAATACTGACTTACGAGGTAGCATCAGCTATGCACCACCTAGAATTTTCTTCCCATCCAGTTGAAAAACCATAAATACACACACCGAAATTTACTTTTTCCATGAACTACTTTTCCAGTTGGGATCCTTTAAAATTTTGTGTACCTCTCATCTTTTCAACAGCCTTATTTTCATCGTTCAAGGCAGCAGCCACAATGGTTAATTTAAGCACAACGACTTTTAGAAACTGATTGCTTCGGTTAAATACAGGCTCTGCCGCCTACTAGCTGGATGAGTCTCTGGACATTTTCCCCCCTCAACTAAAAAATGAAGGGTAAAACAATATTTACCTCATAGGAATAATAAATTAATAAATATAAAGCCCCTGGCACATTAGAGTTATCACTGTTATTAGTGTATACAATTTACCTATAAAACAGATATGCAATCTGCTGAAGTCTGATTCAGAATTGTTTTATGTTTAACTGAGCATTTAAAAATGTATTATAAGCAGAAATGTGTCCTAGATCTCTTATTATTCCAAACTTATTAAAACAGTTGCATGTGCCCTCCTTAGCCGAGCTACTAAACAGCCACTAATGGAGAAAACTAGTTGAAGTTATTCAAAATAAAAAAGACTTCATAACATTTCCCCCCCAAATTTCAAGAGCTATAAGATACTATCCAAGAATCAACAGAAAGAATATTTACATCAATATTACAAACCTTTTGAGTACCCTGGGGGAAAAAATTACAATAAGGTCTCATCTAAGTATATGGGTCCTGTAGGCAAAGATGGCAAAAAACAAATGACTTGTAATTTCTATAAAGCACTTCAAATGTTTTTTTCTTCTTTCAAAAGCACCAAAATAAGAACAAAAAATCCTAAAAGAACTGACAAAAATAAATGTTTGTGTTGAAAGAATGTAGGAAGTTAAACTGAAACTGACTCCCTGGGGAAGATGACAGTTTATTTAACTATTGAATCCAAAGTTCTCATTCACATTAGCATTTTATTATTTTATCTTTTAGACAAATTACAACTTGAAACTCAATCACCTTCCCAAACACTGAAGTCAACCATTTCTGGTTTCCATTCTCTGCCTTTTTGTTTTCAGTTACACTTCTGGATCTTATGGTTAAAAAAAAAAAAAAAAAGGCAAACAAAAAGACAGGTTTTTTTGTTTAAAAGGGCACAACAATCAGACACTCCACAGCTCGTTTGCTTTCACTTGTCTTAGACTCCTCTAATAAATGACCCAAACTTAACAGCACTCTGATTACCTTTCAAGTATTACACATAAAAGACCTTAAAAAAGGCCAGCAGTCCACCAAATTACAAATCTAAGTCTACTGAAGAATACCGTCACTTTACTTTTGGATAGGATTTACACAGGAAAGTGACTTGTTACTAAACTAAAACATGAACCACCCATGAACTCCGTTTTTTCCTAAGCAATAAATATCAAAGTTAAGAGCAAGTATTTCGACAAATATGACAAACCAACCTCGAAGCGCACAAAGTTGGCTGACAAAATTAACACCACAGCACAATTTCAAAACTATAAACAATTACAAAAAACAAACAAACCCCGTACCCACTCTCTCGTAAACTTTTGGAGTAAGCAAACTTCTTTATTCTTTAGCCTCACCTTTGTTTTCACCTACCAAGGGCTCTTCAAGATAAGACATTAATTGCAAGAAAACCAAGATTCAATTGTAGTCCCCGCAAGAGAAACAACTAAAAATTTAATACGGCTTAACGTATTTTAAGGTACCGAAGCCCAGGGCACTTCCCCAAGCTACAGCCATTTTAGATTCAGCCTTTCTTTTGAATTTCACCGCGGGGCGGGGGGGGGAGTAGACTTAAAACAGGAAAAAAAAAATCCTCCTTATAACACTTCAGTATCTACCAGCTTTTTTTTCGGGGCATTGGTGGTAGGTGCTGGACAGACTGAATCTAAATCAACGAAAACACCTCGCTACCAAGGAAAACCAGAATGTTGGGGGTTAAAGGTTGTCCCCCTCCATTTACTCCACATTTGACTTACACGGTTATTTCCTCCTTAGATTTTCCTTCATTGGAAAAAAGCTCTTGGCTCTAATCTAAGAAGGAAAGAAAAAGAAACCTGTAAATCAAGTCACTCAACCGCCAAGCCGAAACGCCTGGAGAGGAGCCAGACAGCCGCAGGTGAGTGCTCCGACCCGAAGACCGAAGTTGAAGAAGGAGCACTCTGGCGGAGCCGCGGCGGCGACGCTCGCGCTCCAAGCGCCACGCGCCGGGGGAGGTGCCGGGCGCCAACCACACGACCGTGGGCTCCGCTCCCCTTCCCGGGCCGACTTACACTCAACCACCTGTGTGAGAGCCTCCTTCAAGTTCTTTCAACAGCCGGCCGGTCAGGGACCGGACCGAGTCCCGCTCCGGGAAGATCCTAGATCTCTTACTACCCGTTGTCGGGAACTCCTACTCACCGGGCAGCGGCCGGGCTACAACTAGGGACCAGACGCGGTGTCTGAGGACGCGTCCTCAGCTTCCTGATCCCGCAGAGGTGGAGAGCCCACAACCATAACAAAGCTCTTCCCAAAATGGCTGCCCGGCCCACAAGGCCCAGGAGGGGCAGAGCGGGTGGAGAGGGAGGAGCGATGACCAGCCCAGCCCGCCCCCATTCAACACCGCCTCACACGCCCACCCACTCCCACCGCCCACTGGGGACGCACGCGCACGCGCCCTGTTCGATGACCCCGACGGCGCCCCACGCAGCCAACGTTCGGGCGCGTGAACGGCGGTTATTCCCTGCCCCACCCCCCAGCTCTCTTTGCCCGGACTAGAGGAAGCGGCCAGCTGAGCTTGGTACTCTCCTTATCTCCCAGCCCAACACTAGGGCCAGGACCCGTGTCAATGAGTGGGTGGTTTGTATGTGTGTACCGGGGTTTCCCCGCCCCTTCGTTCTTTACCCTCCCACACCCCACCTCTGGGCAAGCACCCGTCCCCAGATTACCTCTACAAGTACTAGCAAACCGGTTTCGTGGTAGCATGCGATTTCCTGCCCTTTCCCACCTTCCGCCCCTACACGTGCGCGTGTCGTTAAGACTCCAGCCCCCAGCAGGCCACACGCCCGAGCTCTGGAGGCCACCGCTGCCGGGCCCGACGCGCTACCAGCTGGGAGTGGTAGTTCCGCCTGGCGGCTGGCGTCACGCCCCCGACCAGCACAGTGAGGCTTTCTGGCCTCTGCCTGGCAGAGAAGCTTCCTACCCAAAGTCTCATTGGGTGTTGCAGGACGGGAAGGGGCGGCGCTGCCATGACAGACAAAGAAGGAAATAAAAGTGAAAGCCTATCGCGACTAGAAGCGGTTACTGTTAGGAAGAATACTCTGTGAGCCTATCCTGCACTGGAAGCTAAACCACATGATGGCCGGCAACCAGGAAGCTAGGCTACCCAGAATCCGCGGGATGGAGAAACTGGCCGTTGTGGGCCCCCTGAGCTGTCCTCTTACTTCTTAAGAAAGCTGCTCAAATTGCATGGTGCTGTTCTTCTTTGATAGACTATAAAATGGAGGCCCAGAGAAGGGAACGAACTTGCCACATAGCCGACAAGTTAAAGCGAAGGGTGACAGGGCAAATGATCTAACTTTCTGAATCATCCCCAAAGCTCTTACCATACCTTTCATAAACGTGAAAATCCTGGCCCTTTCTTGTGCTCTTTTTTTTTAAAATATATCTTTATTGATTTCAGAGAGAGGAAAGGAGAGGGAGAGAGAAAGATAGAAACATCAATGATGAGTCATTGATCGGCTGCCTAGCCGGCAACCCGGGCAAGTGCCCTGACTGGGAATCGAACCNGGAGAGAGAAAGATAGAAACATCAATGATGAGTCATTGATCGGCTGCCTAGCGGGCAACCCGGGCAAGTGCCCTGACTGGGAATCGAACCCGATCTGGATCCTAGGTCATGGCTCAACCGCAGAGCCACGCCCGGCCCTGCTCTTGTGCTTTTTTTTAAAAAAAATTTGTTGACAGTATTACAGATATCCCCTCCCCCAGTCCCTGCCCCACCCCACCCCAGGCCTTCCCCACACTATTGTCTGTGTCCATGGGTTATGCCCATATGCATATATGTTCTTTGGTTAATCTCTTCCCGTCCCCTCGACCGTCTCCTTGTTTCTTAATGAAGTTTCCAGGTCCTAGCAAAGAGAATGGAAGTAAAAAGTTTTTCTTAAATAGTATTAGTAATTCAGGATCCTAATTCCCAGTGAGCTGTGCCCTGTCAATCCCTGTTGTTATGCAAACTGAAAGGTGAGTTCCAGAGATGACAAGCAATGTGGCCAATTCACACTTGGCCTAGACTTCAAATGTCCCCTACCTTCTTCCACCATAACTCTGAGATTGTTTCAGTAGTTGCACACTACCTTCCCGAACTGACTAGGAAACCTGGAATAGAGAGGCAAGGATTCTTCAGGTATCCTACAGATTTCAAAAGCCGACTTTCACTCGAATTAAGAGATTGACCCGAGACAGAAAGGAAAGCCAGCGTGGGAACCACTTAGCGCCGGTCAAGTCCCCACCCGGATTCTTTTTCTTCTTTTTAACCGGTTGACAGGAAGTGGAGGATTCTCCACTTGCCGGAAGTGCCTTTTCTGGAGTACTGGGCAGTTCTTGCAGCTGGGCTTTCCGTTTCCCCGCGCGACCTTAGCAAGTGAGTAGTGGGGCTGCTGCCAGAGGTGCAGGTTGGGAAGGGGGGCACAAAAGGTTGGCAGTAAACCGGAGCCATGGGCAGTGTCGGACAAAGTTTACGGAGGATCCTTGCGTTCAGACTCCACTCCCTTTTCTCAGTTGTAGGCTCTGAGGCTTGCAATTTGCAGCTTTTTTGAGGCAGTGGAAATACTGAGCGTTTTCGCCTGAATTGAAGCGGATTAACCTTTGGGTCTGTCCTTAATTCCCTAACCAGTTGGCCGTCCCGGGGGTTTAGGCTATCATTTATTCGCTTTAACCCATGAGTTGGAAAGCACATGTCACAGTACATAGGGAGTTCGAAGGTGGAAGGAGCGCTGAGAGTTTAAGTGGGGTGATCTAGAAGGCCCTTAGGCAGGTGATTTTTATTTTTATTTTTTTAAACATATCTTTATTGATTTCAGAGAGAGGAAAGGAGGGGGAGAGAGAGAGATAGAAACATGAATGATGAGAGTCATTGATCGGCTGCAGCCCACAACCCGGGCATGTGCCCTGACCGGGAATCGAACCCCGATCTCCTGGATCCTAGGTCGACGCTCAACCGCTGAGCCCCGCCTGGCCCCTCGGCAGGTGATTTTAAGCAAAGGGCCTCCTGCAGGGAGTCAGGAGGGGTATGTGGTGAAATCAATAAAGATATATTAAAAAAAAAAAAATCTACTCAGAGGCCCAGGATAACAACTCCCTACTTGCTTCCTATGTATAGAATGAGGGCATTGACCAGCATATAGGAGTTCTCAGATCTGTGGTCAAGAAATTAGTTCATTGCCTTGGTTGGTCTTCCCCATAGCCACGGTTGCGGGTTCCATCCCCAGTCAGGGCACATACAAAAAACCAACCACAAATGAGTAAGTATCGATGTTTTTTTTCTTTCTTTCTCCCTCTCTAAAAATCAATTAACTTTAAAAAAAGGAACAAAAAAAGAAAATAGTTCATTAAAATTGTTCATGGAAAAGCAACTGTGGGTTTTGGATTTTTTAGACACCTCATTCTCCTGGTTAAGAATGGGACTCGAGCCCTGGCCAGTGTTGCTCAGTGGTAGAGCCTCCTCCTTAGCACCAAAGGGTTTGAGTCCGATTCCCGTCAAGGGCAGGTATCTGGGTTGCAGGTTCGTCTCCCCCTGTGCGGGGCATGTGAGGGAGGCAACCGGTCCACGAGTCTTTCTCACATCAATGTCTCTCTACTCCCCCCTTCCACTCTCTCTCAAAATCAATGGGAAAATATCCTTATTGGCTACTTATATTAGTATTCTTAACCATTTCCCCTTATGCAAGGAGGAAATAGCTAATATTTTTGAGTGTTTATGTCAGAGACAGTTCTCAGCTCTTTACATTTATTAACTGACTTAATTTTTACAGCCACCCTGTGTGTAGTTGTTATAATCCTTATTTTCAAAGGTGAGTGAACTGCATCATAGCAAGATTAAACAACTTGTCCAAAGTCACATAGATACTAAGTGGTGGAGCCAGTTTTCCAATCCAGATTGTATGACTCCAAAGTCTGTGCTCTTGCTTAATAGGTTATACAGTCTCTCAGCAGCATATTGATGAGGTTATTGTATTAAATGAGTTTTTGCATATAAAACACAGTGTCTGGTTCAGAACTGAACTGTATTATCATTATTTATGATGATGATGATGATGATGATTTTGAGCTGTAAACTCCTAAGTTCCAAAATAGGTAACAGAGGGACGGGGACAGAGATGCTATGACCTTCAGTTTTCAAGATGAGAAATTAGCACTTCAAGGAAGCAATTCATTTAAGGTCACACTGCAGGGAAATGATGGAGGTTATCTGTAAAATCCAGATCTCTGTGCATTACTCTTTTTAGAGAAGGAAAGGATCTATTGACATGTTACTGATTTTTTGAAAACGTTAATGACTGTTTTCAAAGGAAACTGTGTTATATAGAAGAAATTCTTAAGTTACTTTAAAAAATTATGTATAAAATGAAAAAAAATTAAGTGCCATCTTATTTTGTGTACAGCAACATGCTTCTGATTCAGCCTGTCCACTTAGTTGTAAAAGTACATTAATCAGAACGACCTGGCATCTTCCTGAGCAAGACTTCATTAGGGCCCAGTATGCTTTACTTCATCCAGAAGTTTTCTCAAGCATCTTCAAAGGTTGGTTTATTCAGCAAATATTTGAGCACTACTTGCCTGGCATGGTTTGGCTGAGCAATAGCAGTGAAAAAGAAGATAAAAATCCTATCCTGATATGTTGGGGGGGTGTGTGTTAAAATACAAATAAGTAAAATATTTAATATGTCAAGTGGTAGGTAAGTACTGTGGAGACTTACAATTGCACTGTATATAAATAGCATGGTCAGAAGTTAGGGAATGGGCCATGCAGGTAGCTTAAGAAAGAACATTCTAAAGGAAAAAAGGCCCCAAGATGGAATCATTCCTTGCATTTTGAGGAATCACCAGGATTCTTAAATAACTTTCATTTTTCCTTTCATCTAACACTTCTTGAGTTACTGTTAGTCTATTTACTAGTTGAAGCCTGAATCTGCTCACTAAAGCACAGAATCAGCAGGGAAGGTTATTTGGCCATGTAACATGAAAGTTACAGGGATTTTTTTTAAGGCAAAGAAAAAAAGATGGTCCTGGTTCTCGAGTCTACTCAGACAAGTAAACACACAATTTTAATTCATGTGAGAATAATAATGGAAGTGCACTTAGGATACTTACTCATAGGAGCATAACATCAGATTGGAGAAAGCTTTAAGCTGAATTTGGAAAGACAAGTTCCCTAAGAGAAAAGTAGTAAGACAGAATGCTAGGCAGAGACATGTAGAAAGCCATGGAACTATAAGAAGTAGGCAGTGCCCATAAAGCTATATTGTAAGGTAGATTGCTTTTTTCTACATAAAATAGCATTCCCACAGTGATTAGTCTGCTTTTGTAATTTATAAATAGAAGAGGCAGTTTAGAATGCCAAATACTAAACATCCAGTCTTTACCTGTTCTTTGAGATATTTTTCTCATGTGATAAGATTAGCAGTAAGCCAAAACATAACTGGCTTCAATTCAGTGGTTTCTTTCGCATATTGTATAGCTGTTAATAGCCTTAGCCAGCAACAACATCACTCTGTAGTCAACCTTTCTGTAAAGTTTGATGTGCTAACAGAAAGCAGTTTGTTTTTAAATTGTTCTAGATTGGAATTAAGATATTTGGTGATATATTTTTTAAAAAAATCTGTTTTTGTCTTCTGGTTCCTTTTTCTCTATTTAGATGCTGAAGTATCCTTTCACAGTCAGACTAGGATCCAGCAGGAGAACAGAAACTCTTTCTCTCAAGACATGTCTCCAGGAGAACTTTTCACCTTTGGTTTTAAGGCCTTGGCCTTTCACATCATTTCCAGTGTGTGTGAACAAGACACAATACTATCATACTTCTCCATGCAGCTTTAAGAAGCAGAAGCAAGAATTACTTCCAGCCAGGCCACCAAAAACTATTACATACCTGCCTGACAGCCCAAAGCCAGCATTATACGTGTCTCTGGCAGGACTAATCCCCTTCCTTGCGCCACCACTGGTCATGGTAATGACAAAGACTTATATCCCCGTATTAGCTTTTAGTCAGATGGCTTATGGAGCCAGTTTCCTGTCTTTCTTGGGAGGGATCAGATGGGGTTTTGTTCTCCCAGAAGGTAGTCCAGCCAAACCAGACTTCCTCAATTTAGCTAGTAGTACAGCTCCTGTCATGTTTTCATGGGTTGCCTTCCTTATTTCTGAAAGGCTCAGTGAAGCTGTAGTCACAGTAATAATAGGTTTGGGGATAGCATTACATAATGAAATTTTCCTCTTGCCACACTATCCCAACTGGTTCAAAGCCCTGAGGATAGTAGTCACTTTAGTGGCCTTTTTATCATTTGTATTCACTTTACTACTTAAAGATATTTATCCAGAGAAGGACCCACGAGATCTGGTCAAGTAGAATAAATATAAAACTCTGTAGATGATGTTAGTATGTTGGCTACAAGCCTTATAAGGTTGTTTACATCTTTTCTTCTACTACAGTTTAGCTGTTTCCCACCACTACTAATTTATTCACATTTTCTCATTTCTAGAAATCTTTATTTCATAGGAATTATATGATTGACAGCTTGAGAATCCCTAACAAGTCCTTTTGATGTCATATTAGGTTACAGTTCTCATTCAGTCTTATGAATTATATAGTGGTCTACTCATACATTTCAATGTTTTAATTATTTTGAAAAAAAAAAGTAAAATTAAAAAAAAAAAAGATGAGCCCTGGCCAGGTAGCTCAGTTGGTTAGAGCACTGTCCCATATGCCAAGGTTGCGGGTTTGATCTCTGGTCAGGGCACATAAAAGCAGCAGCCAATGAATGCATAAATAACTGAAACAACAAATTGATGTTTCTCTCTCTCTCAAATCAAATAGATGAAAAATCCCTTTTGCTAGAGCCTATGATCAATGAAAAACACACACATTCTCCCATTTCAAGAGGGAAACTTCAGTCCATGAATGTCTGAAAATAAGTGATTCCAGGGTGGAGTTTTCATTGCAGTTGCTCCTGGGAATTGCATTTACAAGCTCGTTTTACCTGATATAACCTAGCTATATGAGCTGAAAGGATCTGTGGCTCTAAAGTCATTTGGGAGTAGTGTCACAAGGTGAAGTTATGTTTAAAGAGAAACTGGACACATTTTCCAGTTTTTATTAGGATGTTTGGTAGAGTATAGATGCAACTTATCACCAAATAGAAAACCAGCAGGTCAAAATTATTTAAAAGATAAAGCTACCACCTAGTCGGTTTTGCTCAGTGGTTAGAACGTCAGCTCGTGGACTGAAGGGTCCTGGGTTTGATTCCAGCCAAGGGCAAGTACCTTGGTTGCAGGCTCTGGCCCCTGGACGCATGCAGGAGGCAACCGATCAATGTGTCTCTCACACTGATGTTTTTCTCTCCTTTCCACTCTCTCTGAAAAGCAATGGAAAAAAACACCCTCAGATGAGGGAAAAAAATAATAAAGCCACTAGTACATAAAATTAGGAAAAGTCAAGCTGGAGTCATATTGATATTCTAATGAATGGGGCTATCTAGTTTTACGTGTCAACTCACAGAAAACTTTTTCAAAACAGCCAAAGCATCACCTTAGGATTCTAACTTGTAAACCTTGTCTCTTGAGATTCTTCGTCTCATAAAAAAGAAATATATGTAAGAATATAAATAAGGAAATGATATCACCTGGTATGTTATCTTTGTATTACTCAAATATCAAATTTCACAAGTAAATTATATACATGTGATTTCCACTGTAGTGATTCTTGCTGTGAAGAGAGAAGAGTCTAGATTGGTAGCCTGTTTACTTTCTTACACACCTGTTAGAGGCTGAATTGTGTGTTGAAGTCTTAATCCCCAATATTTAAGAATGTGACCTTATTTGGAGATAGGGTCTTTACAGAGGTAACACAGTTAAAATGAGGTCATAAGGGTAAGGTATAATGTAATATTACTGGAATTCTTATAACAAGGGAAAATTTAGAGATAAACACGCATACAGGGAGAATGCCATGTGAACATGAAGATGGCTATATGTCAAGGAGAGAAGCCTGGAACAGATCCCTCCCTCAGCCTTCAGAAGGAACCAACTTTACCAACACCTTGAGTCCAGACTTCCAACCTCTGAAACTGTGAGACAATAAATTCTGTTGTTTAAATTTCTGTGGTACTTTGTTACAGCAGCCCTAGGCAAACAAATATAACACCATAGAGCTAGAACTTGTTCAGATCATTGAGAAGTTTACCAGTTAAAGCCTCTGGATGAAACCCCACATGACCCTTCTTTATTAAGGAAGAGAACAGTTTACTACAGCCTGATAATAAAGGAAAGGAAACTCATACTATTCAGATGATCCGTCTCAGAAGGAAAAGCAAAATCTCAGAAGAGCAAAAATAAAAATACTTTATTAGTATATTCTTTTTTTTAAAACAATCTTGTCATTACCTAGGAAACAATAAGCATATTTATAATTGCCTACTTTTCAAGGATCATCAGGACCTATTAAGCCCAAACATTGATTGTCTTGACATTACATTTTCTGCCACAGCAGTACATAATGCCCTCTTCACAGTGCCATTTTAGGTTGCCAGGCAGTAGTGAGAAATTATAGGAGCATTTTATAAATCTCTTTTGAATCAGAATGCAGAATCTCTAACTAGAAATGTTAAAGGCACATGAGCTTAAACATTCTACAAATTATCTTGACACTTCATTCCTTGACATTTTACAGATTCCAACCAGGTCTCTGTGACCCTTCAGACTCAGAGCTTTCTGTCTGTACTACGTAAGCTTTTCTTTCTTTTTAAAGATTTTAAAAATTGATTTTTAGAGAGAGGAAGGAAGAGTGAAACATTGATCAGCTGCCTCCTGAACACCCCCAACCCAAGATTGAGCCTGAAACCTGGGCATGTGCCCTGACAGGGAATCGAACTGGCAACCTTTTGGTGCACAAGACAATGCCTAACCAACAGAGCCACACCAGCCAGGGCCATACGTTTTTCCTAATACAAACATAGTTAAGTTATGAAGAAAACTCCTTTTGGGCCAATCCAAATATTTTGGATATGAATGCTACCTGAGTCTTTAATGCTTGAAGTTTTCTATCTAAATAAGCTGTTGATCCTTATAACAATATACTGAAGGACTTTAGTAAAGAAAAAGGGGCCCGGTGAGGCATGGTTCAGTGGTTTAGCATCGACTTAGGATCTAGGAGACTGCGGTTTGATTCCCGGTCAGGGCACATGCCTGGGTTGCAGGCTTGATTCCCAGTCCGGGGAGTGCAAAAGGCAGCCAATCAGTAACTCTCTCATCATTGATGTTTCTATCTCTCTCTCCCTCTCCCTTCCTCTCTCTGAAATCAATGAAGATATATTTTTAAAAAGAAAAGAAAAGGGGGAATCCAGAATATACTAACCAAATCCTGGAATCAGCTGAGTAAAAACCTAATGTATGCAAGATCTTTAATATAAATGGCTCCAAATGACTAGTAGAAATAACTTAAAAGTGATGATCACGTACATGAATCTTCCTCTCAGAACTGGACAGAGAATAATTCTTTAGAATGCTTCTCGGGGGAAAATACATTTTGAGAGGTAGTGTTGGATCGGAAGCCTTTCCTTTTATACTTATTAGTCAGTGTCTGTAAGAATTTTCACAGGCATCTACAATTTCACCTTCTCTAAGCAAGGTAGTAGGTTTGTAGGAAGCTCATACTTAGGCTTGTCCAAGTACAAGTAAGCTTTACAAAGCTTAATGATCTAATGAAATTCCATCTTCCCAAAGCCAAGCATATTTTTGATGACTATTTAGAAAATAGGGGAGAAATTTCCTAGGTGCATACCACCTACTGGGCTTTATCACCCATTACATCATCCTATTGCAATAAAGGACTGTCACTAAGAATCTCCTCTTAATTACTCACTTGCATTCTCAGCATCAAAACAAAAAACATAAGTGAGCAAAAGCTTTTTTTATGCTGTTATCAACAGGTTAAAACTTAACTCTCTATATAAATAGCTAGACATTTCTCACATGTCCCTTTTTTCTCACATTTTTGTTGCCAATAAAATGTTTGGGGCTATTGAAACTCCTAGCATCAAATAAAAGTAGGAAATTGTTTCATTGGCTCTTCCCTGTAGGTTAAACTATGGCCATGGAAAATTGTGTTCTGGATTGAATTATGAATTATGAACCTTTAACTGTTTCACTGATACTCTTACATTACAGAGTCATGTTACAGCTTGAATTGCAATGGAAAAGATGCTAAAGGGGCAATTTGCCGAGAAGTTTCTAACAAATAATTTTTACAAATACTAACTGAACAATTCTTGAACATAAATAGCATTTCTATTAGTAAGCCTGTCAAATTTTTGTGAGCTCTTTATTAATTTAGGATATATTCCATATCCCTTCTCACTCAAATTCTTAGAAAAATAATCTTAGTCATTTATCTATCAAACACATGGGAAACTCAACAGAATCAAAGTGTCCTAGGACCAAATGCATGGGTGATTTGCAAAAGGTCAGATCTTATATTTTCAAAATGTTTCTTGTGGTCTCTTACAGTTTATAATTCATAGTACAGCAACACCTCCTTCACAACGACTGGTGATCATGTTACTGATTTCTGTCCATGTATCTGAATGAGGGTTATAAACTTCAACTGAGTCCAAAGTACCTGGTGCCAAGAAATCATGACTGGAAGATCGACCTCCAGAAACATACAGAAGCCCATTGACTGCCACAACACACATGCCTGCTCTAGGCACTTTCATTGAGGCAACTTCAACCCACTTTTCCTGGTTAAGAGGGAAAAAAAAATTAAGTTAGCAGTGTCATAAAATGATAATAGAGAAAACTGCTGAGAAATCTGATATGGTTCTTTTTACATGTTTAAATTTCAAATTCACAATCCGGTCACATCAGTATATAGAACATTTAAAAATAAACTTTCAAGTAGATGTAGATAAAGTAGTAAATTTAGAGAAAAACAATTGAAAAGTCTGTGATTAATTATAAGTTATTATCAGGAAATAATCTAGAGATTCTATATAGGCAGGCATTCTGAAAAACTAGTTCTAACCTGAGCATGTGCTCTGACTGGGAATTGAACCTCAATCTCCTGGGTCATTGGTCAATGCTAAACCACTGAGCCATGCCAGCCGGGCTAGAAAGTGAACTTAAAAAATAAAATAAAATAATAAAATAAAAAAATATATATATATGTTTTTATGATTTTTAGAGAGAGAAGAAGGGAGGGGGACAGAGAGATAGAAACATTGATGAGAGAGAAATATCGATAAGCTGCCTCCTGCATGCTCCCTACTAGGGATCGAGCCTGCAACCTGGGCATGTGCTGTGACTGGGAATCGAACTGGTGACCTCTTGGTTGACGGGTCAATGCTCAACCACTGAGCCACACCAGCTGGGTGAAAGTGAACTTTTTAAGGACAGGTTCTTAATGAACTTCACATCCCAGTATCCAGCATAGCTGCAGTACATTATAGAAAGTCAATGAGTGTTTGCTGATCTGAACTTAAATGAAATGCTGAAATACTAAAACCAGCAACAATCCTTTGAAATTAAAGAATAAATTCAAAGGTTATTTGATTATATGAAATTACAGAACATATCACAAAGTTGGGATAGTTGAAAAAATATATTTTAAAAGACAGATATATCCACAAAAATATCTAAGGCTGATTAAGATAAGTTAGGATGTTGGGGTTATGTTTCTCATTAGGGAATATAGTAAATAATGCTGTAGTAACTATGTATGCTGTCAGATGGGTACTAGACTTATTGTGGTAATCACTTCGTAAGGTATATAAATGGCTAATCACTATGCTGTACATACCAGAAAGTAATATAATATTGTATGTCAACTATAATTGAAAAAATATATTTAAAAACTCCCAGATATTATAAATATGTTAAAGGTTCTAAAGGAAAACATAAACATGGTGATGGGAGAAGTGGAAGACAACAAACAACAAGATCTTCTAGAGCTAAAAAAAATATATATAGTATCTGAAATGAAAAAGTTCCCAATAGGGGCTTAGACACTGCAAATTAGAAATTTAGATATGCAGAAGTTTAATGAACTTTAAGACATAGCAAGAGAAACTATCCAAACTGAAGCACAGAGAACAAAGTTTTAGTTATACAGGATGAATAAGTTCTAGAGATACAATGTTCAGCATGGCGACTGCAAGTCACTACAGCATGGTGACTTGAAATTTGCTAAGAAAGCAGATCTTAATTGCTCTTACCACACCAAAAAAAGGAACAGGGAGCTATGTGAGGTGATAGATATGTTAATTAGCTTGATTGTGGTAATCATTTCACAATGTATATCAAAACATCACATTGTACAACTTAAATATATGCAACTTTTATGTCAGTTATAGCTGAATAAAGCTGGAAAATAAAAACAAACTGAAAAACAAAGAGAGAAAAATAGAAAAAAATTTAACAGAGCCTCAGTGATCTGTGGGACAATATCAAGTGATCTTACATGCCTATTATTGGAGTTCCAGTAAGAGAGCAAGAGACTATTTGAAGAAATATGGCTGAAAACATTTGATGGAAGGTATACTCCCACAGATTCAAGAATTTCATTGAATTCTAAGCAGGTTAAACACAAAACACCAACAAGAAACACATAACCAAATTACTGGAAACTCATGATAAAAAGAAAATCTTATAAGCTGACAAAGAGCCAGGCCGGGCATGGCTCAGCGGTTGAGCATAGACCTAGGATCCAGGTGATCGGGGTTTGATTCCAGGTCAGGGCACGTGCCCAGGTTGCGGGCTTGATCCCCAGCAGGGGGAGTGTAGGAGGCAGCCATCAATGACTCTCTCATCATTGGTGTTTCTCCCTCTCTCCCTCTCCTCTCTTCTCTCTAAAATCAATAAAGATATATTTAAAAAAAAGAAAAAAGGCGAAGAGATAGAGTTATTGGAAATAAAAGAAATAAAATGGAATACTAAAACAATCAACATAAAGACAGAAAAAGGAAAGGATTAAAAAAAATGGATTATAAAAATAAAAACAGCAAAATAGAAGTCTAAAAACCAACCAATCTGTAATTACATTACATATAAATAATAAAAACTCTGAAGACTCCATTTGAAAGTCAGAGACGGTCAAACTGCACAAAAAACACAGACCACAACTATATGTTATCTTACAAGAGATGCAGTTTGTAAAGACATAGATTTAAAGTAGAAGGGGAAAAAAGATATACCATGCAAATACTAATCAAAACATAACTTGGCTACATTAATGGTTGCATTAATATCAGACAAAGTAGACTTCAAAACAAAGGTGGTTACCAGAGGTAAAGAAAAAATATTTCATACTATAAAAGGATCAATTCATCAAAAAGACATAATAATCTCAATGTGTACAGACTTAATAACAGAGATTCAAAATATGAAGCAAAACCTGACAGAAATGAAAGGAAAAGCAGACAAATCCATAATTATAGGTGGAGATTTCAACACTTCTCTCTTAGCAATTTACAAAGCAATGAGATAAGTTGGAAATACTTAGGGAAGACTTGAACAACACTAATAAGCTTGACTTAAGAGACATTGATAGAACACTACACTCAACAACAGCAGAATACAAATTCTTTTAAGGTGCACATGAAACATCTACCAAGACACAAATCATACAAAATATGCTCTTTGTTCACAATGAAATTAAATTAGAAATCAGTAATACAAAGATATCTGGAAAATCCCCAAATATTTGGAAATTAAATAGGATACTTCTAACAGCTCATTGGTCAAGGAAGAAATTACCAGAGAAATTAGAAGATATTTTGAGATAAATGCTAATTAAAACATATCAAAATGTGTGAGGGGCAGTTAAAGAAGTGCTTGAAAACAATTTATAGCTTTAAAGGTTTATAGTATAGAAAAAGAAAGGTCTGAAAATCAATCATATAAACTTCCACTTAAAGGTTCTAGAAAAAGAAGAGCAAATTAAAGCCAAAACAAAGAGAATGAAGGAAAAAAATAAAGGAACAGAATTGAATGAAATAGAAGGTGGACAATCAGTAGAAAAAAAATCAATGACACCAAAAGTTAGTTCTTTGAAAAGAAAACCTACAAATGATCAAATCACGAATGAAAGAATGCACATCACAATGGACCTTAAAGACATTAAAAGAATAACAGGATACTAAACATTTGAAATCATCCAACTTACCTCTTCAAAGGAATATTTTTCTACAGTATGAAGAGCATCTTGCGTTTCGTTCCACCCTCCAATAGAATAGATGCAGTCATTGAGTGCAGCAACCCCAAGATATGCTCTCCTGGTTCCCATTGGAGGAAGTGGAGACCAACGCTTGGAAAGTGGATCATAAACTTCAAAAGAACGAAGCTCTATTCCTTCATTGCTGATGCCTCCAATTACATAAATTAAACCTGGAAATGGAATATTTTTGCTCAGATGCTATATAAAATAGGATACAATAATTAACAAAAGTCACAGTTGTGATTTCAGTTTGCTATGCTGATACTATATTTAATGTAGGGCTTACCATTTTTTAAGAGAAAATAGACTTCTGTCTAGTTCATCACAGCTCACATTTAAGCAAGTTATAGAGAATTAGGGGTATGAATTTAAAGTGAAATTAGCCCTAGCTGTTTTGGCTCAGTGGTTAGAGCATCAGCCTGCACGGACTGGAGGGTCCTGGCTTCGATTCCAGCCAAGGGCACGTACCTCAGTTGCAGGCTTGATCCCTGGCCTCAGGTGGGGCACGTGTAGGAGGCAATCAATTGATGAGTCTCTCTCACACTGATGTTTCTCTCTCTCTCTCTACCTCTCTCTCCCTCTTTTCAACTCTCTCTGAAAAGCAATGGAAAAAATATCCTAGGGTGAGTATTAAAAAAATAATAAATAAAGTGGAATTAAATTTTCAATGAACTTTATGATGCTATAACAAAATAAATGTCAGACAAGGGTTTCCCATCTTATTGTCTACTTGATAATCTCAAGTTCCAGATGCACTGCTACCACATATAGGTAAAAAAGGAAAGGGAAAGGGACATTTTTCCCCTTAAAAAATATTATGCACTTAAACTGAGAATGACATGACCATGTTTGGTGACAGCCTACCTGTTGTTTAGATGGACATAAAAGAGAAAATTGAATTTAAATTACAATAGTTATATGGCTAGATTAAGATATCAGATCAATCACTGGAGTACATCAAAATGTTATTCACAGAGAGTTTACATTTGATTGAAGAGTTTTTTACATTTGATTGAAACTAATGGTTTTGACAATCTACAATTATTTTTGAGTGCCCAGTTTCTCATGTTCCAAAGTGAGGAGTTATAGGTTATAGCATTTTAAGAAATGTGAGCTAAATGTTGATAAACTTGGGTTCTAGCTCCAGCTATGCCAATAACCAGCTCTGAGAAGGGACAACTCACAATCTTCCTAATCTTTAGCTTCCTCATTTATAAATAAGGGGGTTGAAGTTGATAATCTCCAAGATGCCTCTTTAGCTCTATGATTTTAGATGGGAAGATAAAAATAATAAATATAAAACAGCTAGAGAACATTATAATATTAAATAATAGAATATAGTCTGCACCACGTAATTGGAACATTTAAATGTTAGTGGAAATCTGAGAAAGTACTCACAAAGCAAGAAGAGCTTGAGCTGGGAACAAAGCAGGTTGAGTTGTCATATAACAATGGGCAGACTGCTTCCTACTCTGCAGGTACATATAAATTTGCTCTCCAACTCTGGACAGAGAATCAGGTTTTATTTGACAGTGCTTACTACCTCTCAGGATATAGAAGACAATTAAAATAATGTCTGTACACCATTTTAATACTCAGTACAACATTTTTCAAATCTATCACAGCATTATATTTTGTGTGGACTGAATAACAGTGTAGTCTGTAAAAAAAACTCTGAAGAATGCCCTGGCTGCTGTGGCTCACTGGTTAGAGAGTCTGTTCAGCAAAAGGTCTCGGGTTTGATTCCCAGGCAAAGGCACGAACCTGGGTTGCATGTTTGATCCCCCTCCCCGGTCAGAGCACGTTCAGGAGGCAACCAATCAATGTGTCTCTCACATTGATGTTTCTTTCTCTCCCCTCCCTCCCTTCCACTCTCTCTAAAAAAAATCAATGGAAAAAATATCCTCAGGTGAGGATTAAAAAGTAGTAATAAAAACAAACAAAAAAAACACTGAAGAAGCCTATAAGAAAGGACTGTGAAGACTGTTTTTGATTCTCTATCTACTTAGAAATACTTACTAAGGCTTCATGGGAGGCAAAATAACAATAAAGAATGACATTTTAAATGCTTATTTTGCCTATCTGGAATTTTAAACTCTAGCTTTGTTTATTTTGGGGGGGGGAATAGATTATTTTGACAATACAGAAATAAAGAAAAAAGAAATTAAAAGATGTAAGAGGTTAAAAGCAGAACTTCCATACTGTTAATCACTTAATACTAACAAACATAAAATAATATACATTTGTGCAAATAAAGCCTCAAGCTCAGTTTTTATATTTTTTCAAGAAAAAAAATTTTTTTAAATATGTCTTTATTGATTTCAGAGAGAGGAAGGGAGAGGGAGAGAGAGAGAGAGAAGCATCAATGATGAGAGAGTCTGATCGGCTGCCTCCCGCATGCACTGGACTGGGGATCTGGCTCGCAACCCAGACATGTGCCCTGACCGGGAAATCAAACCGCGATCTTCTGGATCCTAGGATGATGCTCAACAGCTGAGCCATGCCCAGCTGGGCCCAAGAAAAATATTTTATACAGCAATTACCTTGCATTTCACAACAGCCAAAGTAGTAACGTGACATAGCCATATTGCCAACTACTTCCCATTTATTTTCATCAGGATCAAATCGTTCAATGGTGTTCCCTATCTCAGCTCCAACCCATCCACCTGTAACCAAACAGAAAAAAGTTATGTCTGGGATAAAGGAATCTTATTTATCAAAAACACCTTAGAAAACATCTAATCTGACAACTTCATATTATGGATGGTTATCATATGGAACAGAGGGGTTATCTGTCCAAGATCACACGAAAAGTTAGAAACTGACAGTGAGTAGAACTCGTATCTTTCAACTCTCTGCCTATTTTCAACTAGAGGTTTAAAATAAAACAAAAACTTTAACGTATTGCATAGGAAATTTGGTATTTTGCAAAATTATCTTTTGAAAAAACTTCTGCATATTTAGAATGCTTATAACTAATCATGAGATTTAACTATCAGCTAAAGTGCTTCACTTGACATTTCATCTATATTTTATCTCCATCTCTTTCTAAGAACTCCACATGTGACAATATTCCCCAAGTAATAATATTTTAAGAATAAGAATTTATATCACTTCTCGGCCTTTTGGCTAAGATCAAGTGTAGTAAGAATAAGAATTTATAAAGCTGAAAGGATCCAAGTTTCTCATGGGAGGGAAGGAAAATTTCTAAAGTAATCAGAATCTGACTAAGAATTTAAATAATATTAGATATCCTTAAATTAGACAGCATAATTACCCAAAGCATAGATAGCTCCATAACACACACACACTCCCAAGCCACAGCGGGGGTGATTCATTGAAGCTACAGTTGTCCACTGTTTAGTAACTGGATCATAGCATTCAGTACAGTCAAAAATCATTGAATCTTTTTCACCTGAGTTAAATAAAAGGGGCACATATGAGGAGGTTTAGTAATGCCAATAGCCTAGAACCATAATACAATATTCAGTAGCATTCCATGTTGTCAGAAATTCAACTATTATGTCTGATTTTATACTATTTATTAAAATTCATTTGCCCAGCAAATGTTAATTTGAAATCATAGCACTATACCATTTAGTATAGTCCATTTAATGAAGTAATGACTCAATTTTCTTTCTTTTTTAAAAGTTTTACTATTTCTTATTATCTATTTCTAATTCTACCACCCAAACAATCCACGTAATTTGCATTTTGACACTTGTAAAATTTGAGTTTTAATAAAATCCTTATCTAGCAACAAACAGAAAGTAATGTAATTTAAAAAGATATCACTTAAAATAAAACTTAAATATACTATACCTAGGAGTAAACCTAATTAAAGATTGTTTAAGACCTCTATGTTTAAAATTTATAAACTTTATATAGATAAAGTTTTAAATTAAGGAATATCTAAATAAATGAAGAAATGTATCATCTTCATGAATTAGAAGAGTCAATGTAAAGATGATTATCCCCAAACTGATTTATAGATATAATACAATCCCAATTTTTTTAAAAAACCTTTTTTATTATGTTACACTTAACACAACATAACATTTACTGTCTTAACCATTTTTAAGTTTACAGTTCAGTAATGTTAAACACATTCATACTGTTGTGCAGCCATCACAACCATCCATCCCCAAACTCTTTTCATCTTATCAAACTGAAACCCTATACCCCATTTTCCCCTCCCCAAGCCCCTGGCAATCACCATTACACTTTATGATTTTGACTATTCTAAGTACCTCAAATAAATGGACTCATACAGGATTATTTTAAAAAATAAACTGATTCTAAAATTTATATGGAAAGTACAAAAGGGCCTAAAATAGGCAAGCAGTCCCAGAAAATGAGAAACTGCTCCATCAGATAAGCTTATTAGACTTAAACAGAGCTATAGTAATTAAGATAGGGATAGACAAGGAGACCAATGGAACAGAAAAGAAATCTAGATACAGATTCATGCATATGTAAGACATATGACATGACAGTTTGTACTACATAGCAGTGTGGAAAGAAAAGTTTTTTTTATGCTAGGATAATTGGTTTATCTATATGGTGGTGGTGGGGAAATAAAACTGGTTCCCTACTCATACTAATCATAAAAACTAATTCCAGGTAGATTAGACATAAATATAAATGGAAAAGCCATAATTTTTAGAAAGCAGTAAAGGTTTATATCCTCATGACTTTGGAGTAGGTAAAGATTTCTTTAAAGAGGTACAAGAGCCCTAGCCAATCTGGCTTAGTGGTTAGAGTGTCGGCCCTTGGACTGAAGGGTCCCACGCTGGATTCTGGCCAAGGGCATGTACCTCAGTTGCAGGCTCCATCCCTGGCCCCCTTCAAGGTGTGTGCGGGAGGCAACCAATCTATGTGTCTCTCTCACATCCATGTTTCTCCCCCGCTGAAAAGCAATGGAAAAAAATAACCTTGGGTGAGGATTTAAAAAAAAGGGAGGTTACGAGAAACACTAACCATAAAGGGAAAAAAATAGTAGAGTTGGCTACATTAAAATTAAAGGTATTTGATTATCAAAAGATACCATAAAGCCCAGCCGGGCATGGCTCAGCAGTTAAGCGTAGGCCTAGGATCCAGGAGATCGCTGTTCGATTCCCGGTCAGGGCACATGCCTGGGTTGCGGCTTGATCCCCAGTCGGGGGGCGTGCAGGAGGCAGCGGATCAATGACTCATCATTGATGTTTCTATCTCTCTCTCTCCCTCTCCCTTCCTCTCTCTGAAATCAATAAAGACATATTTAAAAAAAACACACAAAACCATAAAAAGCCCTGGCTGGTATGGCTTAGGTTGGCTGGAGCATCCTCCTGTGCACCGAGAGGTTGCCTTATCTAAGTTGTGGCTTTGATTCCCTGTGGGGGCACGAAGAGGAGGTGGTCAATCGATGTTTCATACATCGATGTTTCTCTCTCTCTCTCCCTTCCCCCTTCTCTAAAACCAGTAAAAACATATCCTTGGGTGAGGACTAAAAAACAAAAAGAGATACCATAAAAAGAGTGAAAGGTGAAGCAGCAGAGTAGGAAAGATATTTGCAGCACATGTAACTTTTATGAGGGCGTAGAATCCTAGATTCAAAACTCTTATTGTGCAAAAAAGAGTTAACATAGCAGGCCTGAGACTGCCTATCCTTAGAAAGGCTTGCTTTGCAAGGATGACCCTTGGCTGGAGTCTGGGAACGTGGTTAGTAAACAGTGCTCTACAGTGATATAAAAATTTTCCCTAAGTGATGAGTGGCTTTTTGCAGTGATGAAAATGTTCTGAAATTAATGGTGATGGTTGTACAACTTTGTGAATATACTAAAAAACACTGAACTGTATCCTCTATTGGGGGGAGAGGAGGAACCTTTTTTCTGCCAAGGGCCATTTGGATATTTGTAACATCATTCACCGGCTATACAAAATTATCAACTTAAAAATTAGCCTGCTATATTTGGTCAAATGTTTAATTAACTCACCACTAACGTGATGGCTGGAATTGTTTCTCTTTGGTGAGGCCTTGGCAGGGCCAGACCAAATGATTTCAAGGGTCATATATGGCCTGTGGGCCAGATGTTCCCCACCCCTGCAAATAGTGAATGTTATGGTATGTGAATTATAAATCAATTTTTTAAAATAGTATTTACAGCCCTGGTCAGTGTGGCTCAGTTGGCTGGAGAATCGTCCCATGCACTGAAAGGTAGAGGGTTTGATTCCCCGTCAGGCACAAACCCAGGTTGTGGGTTCCATCCATCCCCACTGGTCAGGGCACGTACAGGAGGCAACTGATTGATGTTTCTCTGTTACATCGATGTTTCTCTCTCTCTTCCTCTCCCTTCTCTCTAAAATCAATAAAAACATATCCTCGGGTAAGGGTTTAAAAAAAAGAAAGAAAGAAATAGTATTTAGAAATTTAACCCAGATATGTATGTATCTAGGAGGAAGTAAACTAAACTATGGTATAGTTATAGTACGTGTTATTTTTATTTTCTTTTTATATGCTTTGGTTTCAGCAAAATTTTCTACAACAAACCTGAATGACTTTAATAATAAAATTATTTAAAAATTTTTATATTAAGGAATATCTTAAGATACCATTATTAGTATTAATAATAGCTAGTAGTCACAGCATTTTTGAAGAGCACCCATAAATACTTCCGTGGCATCAAAAAAGAAGATACATATATATGCAAATGTCATATGGCACACTGTGACCCTAGGTTAAACAGGAGAATTCATGCAATGAAACTATCTGCAATTGCCAAAATGTACACTAAAAAAAAACTATTAGAATTCTAGTCAAAGATTATATAGAATTATGGACTTTATGCTGTCAAAGTTATTGCCTAAAATTCCAATTTCTTTGTTGGGATTTTCAGATATACCATGAGATTTACTGATTTAATGAAGTTCTTGAGTGCTAATTATGTTCTTTCCAAAGGATAAATAAACATAAAATATTCCCTATATCTCTCTTATTTTATTTTATTATTATTATTTTTAAATGTATCTTTATTGATTTCAGAGAAAGGAAAGGAAAGGGAGAAAGAGAGATAGAAACATCAATGATGAGAGAGTCATTTATTGAGCCCGCAACCCGGGCATGTGCCCCGACTGGGAATCAAACCCCGATCGCCTGGATCCTAGGTCGACGCTCAACCGCTGAGCTATGCTCGGCTGGGCCCTATATCTCTCTTATTTTAAACTGACAGTATCATAGTCAGAAAATAATAAAAAATTTTTGATATACAACTGTTAGTTTTTTATACTAACCCACAGAAATAAAGAAAAAAGATCAGTTGTAAGGGTTAGAGATGGTCCACCTTGGTCTGTTGCTATATAAACAAATTATCCAAAAGTAAATATTGATATTAAAAGTGTTACCCAGCCTTGGCTGGGTAGCTAGGTTGGTTAGAGTATTGTCCCAATATGCCCAGGTTGCAGGTTTGATCCTCAGTCAGGACACATACAAGAATCAACCAAGGAATGCATAAATAAGAGGAACAACAAATTGATGTTTCTCTCTCTCTCTCTCAAAATCAACAAAAAACACACACAACAAAACACCAAACCTAAGTATTCTGCCTTGTGATAAATCACAGTATCCCTCTGGTCTGAAATATTCAATATCTTGTGTTTCTTTTTTCTTTCTTTCATTCATTTATTCAGTAAATATTTACTAAGCATAACTGTATCTATGTATACCCCATAGTACCTCACAATATATATAAGGCATATAATAATTCAGCCAACTTATAGCTAGAGATTAATAAGGGAAATAAGACATTTTCATCATTACCTCCAATAGCGTAAACCATTCCTCCCAGAACTGCTACTCCCAGCCCACATCGAGCCTGATGAAGTGAGGATACAGTGGTCCAGTACTGGCTAAAGGTGTCAAAACGTTCTACACAGCTGAGGGCTCTGCTATCACTCCAACGACCACCCTGCAACCGAGTATATCCACCTGAGCAAAGAAAGGAAAAGAACACAGCAAATCCTTTACCGCTAAATATGGAAATGGTAGTAAGGAGAAAAATCTAGCCCTCTAGGTCTAGACATTCAGTTTAACTATTTCATAGCAAGAAATAAATGCTTTAGAGCCTGCCATATATACATATATTGTTCTTAAATGTGCCAAGTCCTGAAAGATTATGCCTTAAATAAAATGAGTTAACCACAATGTTCTACTACCTGGTCTCGGTTATAATAGAATATTAGATAAAACATAAATATAGGAGCTGACTATCTGTCTAGTTAAAAAGTTTCATTATGACTTCTATTAGTGTCTCTTTCAATTAAAAATAGTGAGTTGAAATTCGGGTTTTGACTGCACATCTAATCACTGAAAAAGTTTATAGCATGCACTCGAAAAATACATATTTATATATCATAGCACGCATAAAGTTATACATATTATTATATACATATAAATTATACAGAATGTTTGTATGTAAATTATATTATCTATATAAGTCTAGGCAATCTGTCAATATATATATATATCAAATATTGATAAGGTTTAATGCTTTTCAAAATAGCATTAAAAAAAGAGGTTTTAATATGTTCATCTGATATGCCTATGGGTTATCCTGTACATCCACACTTTGGAGACCACTGGTTCCTGTCATCCCTAATGACCATCTAAGACACTGAATAGTTAATATTTTTGAGGTTTATTTTCCTTATTTTTCACTAGAATTCAAATTTTCAACTTTTAAAGTAAAATTTCTTTAGTCAGCTAATGACAATAATTGAGTAATCTAAGAACTCAAAGCTTTAGATCACAGAATAACAGATGTCAAATAAGTAGCTATTTTATTTTTAGATGTGTTCACTGTATTATATAACCACAATTTAAAAATCTGTAGCCTGTATGTAAAATTAAATATATCTATTTGACACACCTGAATATTCTGACATGTATAATAAGAACAAAATATTAAAAAGTTTTGGTACTGAAAATAAAGATAACTTCTATTACTTTTTAACAGGTTCTCACCTATAGTGTATTACAGAATTGTACACCTGAAACCTTTTTAATTTTATTAACCAATGTCACCCCAATAAAATCAATTTAAAAAAAGAAAGATAAATAAATAAATAAATAAATAAATAAATAAATAAATAAATAAATAAATGAAAGGTTCTGACCTACTGCATATAGGTACTTCCTTGCTTTCTTCCGAGGTCGAACCTTAGATGTCTGCATAAAACTACAAAACTTGCTCTCTTTGGGAGATTTGCACACCTCACAATATTCTTTCAAAAGTGTTTGCAATGCAACACGAAGATTAAAATCAGATACTCCTAAAGCAATGTTTAAAAGATAATGTTTAATCAACTTCTAAATAACATTGAAAAGACATGCTTACATAAAGATAAAACACATTTAACAATAAAAAAATTAAAACTCATCAAATAATGGTGTTTATTTCCTAGAATAGCAAGTATTATTTTTCTCATTGCTACTAAAAAATGTACTTTCCTGCCCAGCCGGCGTGGCTCAGCAGTTGAGCATCAGCCTATGATCCAGGACATCGAGGTTTGTTCGATTTTCAGTCAGGGCACATGCCCGGGTTTCGGATTCGATCCCCAGTGGGGGGCATGCAGGAGGCAGCCAACTGATGACTCTCTCATCACTGATGTTTCTAACTCTCTCTCCTTCTTCCCTCCTCTCTCTGAAATCAATAAAGATATATACAAATATATATAAATATATTTTCCTTAAATCAAAGATTTTTAAAAATATGCTCATAGTTGGTTAGAACATCATCCCTATACGTCAAGGTTTCAAGTTCAATTCCAGGTCAGGGCACATACAAGAATCAACTAAAGAATGCATAAATAAGTGGAACAACAAATCGGTGTTTTTCTTTTTAATATGTTTTTTTATTCATTTTTTTTAGAGAGAGAGGAAGGGTGGGGGGGAGAGAGAGACATAGTTGTGTGAGAGAAATATGGATTGGCTGCATCCTGCAAACACCCTGGCCGGGGATCAAACCAGAAACCTGGGCATGTGCCCTGACCAGGAATCGAACCTGTGACCTTTTGGTGCACAGGATGATACTCAACCAACTGAGCCACACCGGCCGGGGCACAAATCGATGTTTCTTTCTCTTTCTTTCTCTCTCTCTCCCCCCTCTTTTTCTCTCCCCTTTCTAAAGTCAATCAATAATTTAAAAAAATATATATGCTTCACAATAGGGAATTTTTAAATATATGTAGTATGAGGATTTCTCAATAAAGATGGCAAGGTGAAACAGGATCACAATTATCTAACAAAATGAAAATAAAATAAAGTAGCCCAAAGTTCTATACATACAACCTAATAACAAAGGGATATAAAATTATGTCATAAACTTTAAAAAATGTTAAAGCAAGAAACAGAAGATTCATTGGGATAAGGTCCATTTCCTAAAAAGACTTTGAGCATGACTGGGTAGGTTGTTCCTGCTCAAGAGTACTTAGTTGAGACGGTGAACTGGGGATAAAGTCAACCTGTATCCTACCTGGCAAGCTCTAAGATCCCCTAAAAGGGCACTATTTTCAAATGTGCACAAAGGCCCCATATATGCTTGCAAGGGACTGTCTCCTAGGCTTGTCCCTACATCCCAGAAGCAATATTAAGAAAAGGTCACTAGCAAAATCTTGAGAATTCTTACTAATAACTAATATTTGGAGAGAGGTAGAAAGAAGTCAAACTGAGAAGTCAAAGCACAAAACCATTAAAAGGAAAATCCCTTAAAGGACCATCAGTAAAAATAGAGAGGATCACCAGGGTTTGCCATCTAAGAGAGCACATTGCTAGCCAAAGTCTATGTGAGATACTTCCTTGGCTGTGTTAAGTAGGTCCTGACATAAGATCAATATTAGGATCTCATAAGGGAGAGCTCAGAGCCCAGGTCCCTAAGGAAGGAGCTCAGCCTTAACAAATCTCTATTCTTCTACCACCCTCAGACCTTAGGCTAGAAAGAAGTGGTGAGAACACAACACATAGCTCTCACGTTTTAGATAGGAGAACAAAGTAGTTAAACTAAGGTAGAGAGGGTGCCAAGGAGAATCAGCTCTTACATTATTTATAATTTACTCACATCCTAAAGTTTCAGGGCAGGACAAGAACAAAAACTTCAAATCTTGAAACTAGGTCTAAAGTAGTTTTAAAAAATAAATTGAAATATTATCATTTTTCTGATATAAAGTATCAGAAAAGTATATTCACAGAAGTGAATATACAGAAAAAGTATATTTTTTATACTATGGTGAAAAGTATTTGCAAAGTTTAGAACCTAAAGATGATTCAAAGGATACTTAGGAGCTATGATATCCTATCAATATAACATTTATTTTATAATGAGAGGACTTGCAGGATTTATTGAGCTTTGGTTCTGTTTTTAGCGTATGCATTTTCCTCAAATGTTAGGTTTTGCTGACTTTTTAAAAGCAACGAGGGAATTTTACACTGAAATAATTAGTACTGCCAAAAATAGCAGTATTTTAGCTCAGTCAGTAATTTTATCTATAACTCTCATCTCCATTAGTACTTAATCTCAAGAAAGGTACATAAGGATTTTATTAACATAAAGGCAGAAATATGGAAATACAACTGTCTTCCCACAGAAACAAAAGTCTGTATCTTGCATACAGTAATCATTCAATAAATGTCTGCTATGGAACTGAAAAATAAAAACACAATCACATTTCAAACAGAGAAAAAGCCACTGGATAATTAAGTGACTAGTTTGATATGCAACAAATTACCTTCTATGTACTTTAAAAGCCTCTGAGGAGGTAATAAAGGAAATCGAATTGGGTCTAGCACTTCCACCACGTATTTTTTTCTCTTTGCCAGATCTTTGAGAATCCACTGCATTGCAGCTAAGAAGACCTGGTATTCGTCCTCAATGCTAAGCTCTTCACTTCGCAAAATTTTTATCAACTGATCTTTTGTAAGTGCCAGGAACTCTTCCCCACTCTGAACCTCCAAGAAATGGACATGAATGTAGTTTTCTGTGAATTCCAAAAGATCGTGGCAGGCAATTTGCTCAGAGAACTGAAAGATCCCAATGCAGTTCAGTGGGTCAATTTGTCCTTTCAGAAAAGCACAGCAGAGATTAACAACTTCAGTCAACTGTAGCATGTCAGCTGCCACAATCAACTCCTGGACATTATTCACTCCCATGTTCACTACGCCTAGGGAAACAGGGAAACAAACAACCAGTACAGTAAATTAAAAACAAGCATTATATTTGATTCCACTAACAGCTAAGTAAAAGGCAACAAAGGATTTGTAGAAAGAGCACAAAACTTAAAATTATAAAGATACAGAACATTTATAGAACACTTACAATGAACCAGACATAGCATTAATTGCTTTATACATTCATTTAGCCCTGACTACAACCCCATATCGTTTTTAATTTTTATTTTATTAAGAAAACAGAATCATCAACAATAAAGATAAATTAAAAAAAGAAAACAGAATGAGAAAGTTTAAGTAACTTGTCCTCAAATCACACAGTTAAGTGAGTTGCGGGTAGAGATTGACACCAAAGTCCATGCTTTTAACATAAGGCTATATGCATCTAACAAACATTTACTTAGGCAATGGGGAAGGTAAGACAGAGTCTCTATCTTCAATTATGATAAAGTACCATACAGGTGTTAATTTCAATATTAGGTATAACCCAGAGTCTATAACATATGAGAAGTTATTAATATTTAACATCTAAGTAACTATATATACCACTCTCTTTCCAGAGGGCTTCACTTTTATATATTTACATAGGGACTTTGGGTGGACATCAAATAGTCAATTATATTTAAAAAGAAAAAGAACACACTATAATTCTCCTTCCTAATAAGGATAAACTCTCCATTCCGTTTTATACTTTCCCTTTATCCCTTTTATCTCCATTTACTCCCACTAAACTATTTGTCTAAAGTTTGTATTCCCAATTTGATTTATAAAGTCTGTTGGGGCAAGCCTTCCCCCTTAAGTATTCCCAATGCCTAGCACACACTAGGTGCTAAAAAAAATTGTTTTAAATGAATGAATGGTCAAAGAGATTATGGTGAGAGGAAGAATATAGCTTGTTGAACGCAAACAGGGGTTTTTCCCCAAGTATAAGAAATGTAATCCACCATGGGAGTAAATGGTAGTGGCTTCAGAGAAAATGGAAATAAAACATACTTGAATAAAATGAGAACTCACCGCAAACTTGGAGAAAATAAAGATCATGGGTTATGATTTAAGGGAGCTGAATGATTGCTACTGAATAATGCCAAGAGTTACGTCAGAGTAATAAGCCCTCCAACTTAATAAGCCTTTATAGATTACAAAAAGTACTTTTACATTTATTAAAATTTATCTCATTTAACCTTCACATGTATTATAAACTGCTACTATCCCCAATTTACAATAAGGAAAATGAGGGTCCTACAAGCTCATTTCTATTTTGTAAACACCTCATCTGCATTACTGAGAAAACTCTATAAAGGCAGAGGCCATGCCTGTCTTGTTTACTTCATACCCCTAGTGCCTAGCTCAAAAAGTATTCATAAATATCTGTTGAAAGAATGAATGAATAATTTATTAAAGTTAAATGAATTGCCTTGTATCACATAGCTAATGAGTGTCAGAGCTAGATCACAAACCCAGGTCATTTGATTCTAAGTGAAGTGCGTAACAACCTAAGGTGAGAAATATCTGTTAAGACCTATTAGAATTGTGAATGATTAATAAAAAATGCACAGATAAGTCCAAAGGAGAGATGAACAGAATAACAGGTTTTGTTGCCCTCACATCTCCAAACAAGGAAATGCTATTACAATGAATCAAAGAACATGTTTTTTTTAAAAAAAATTAATTGTAAAGACTACAAAGTTCCCTGACCAAATACATAACCAAAATTCATTTTCATCTTTACTAACAGAATGTTGACTTTGCTATGAGTGGCAACTGTGGCCAGCTAAATATTACATTTCTTAGCCTCCCTTTGCAGATAGAGGTGAATTTTTGACTGAGTTTGGCCAACAGGATAATAGGTAGCAGTTATTGGGTAGGGTTACCAGAAAAGCTTAAAAAGAGGATAGACTCAGCTGACAGGCTCTTTTCCCTTTCCTCCTTCCTGCTTCCACTGGCTGGAGTTCAGTGATCATGATATTACAGGCTACAAACTCTAGATGGTGGAACAAAATGTTGCAAGAATAATGGAGTACTAATGACATCATGAAGCCACTATACCAGCCTTGGAATTACTATGGATTCATTTTTGTGGAAAAATAAACTTCTATCTTGTTAAGCCACCTTATATCTTTTACTAGCAGCCAAATATTGTTCTTAACTATATACCAGTTTTAGCGTTAAATGTCAACATTGTACAATGTTATTTCCCCCTTGATATGCTCAGTACCTTTTATTTCTCTGGGTTTTACCACTTTTTTATTTCTAATAGTACTAATCACCAGCAACATGGTAATGATGCCATGAACATTCTCTTTCACTAAATATCTCTTCCTGCTACTATCAGACACCGGAGGCAGAGTAGACAGTTTGTGGCAATTCTTCTGTTTTTATGTAGTTCAACACTAATTCCACTGGATTAATCTGTGTTAATTTCTACTTTGCAAATATGAGAAGCAAGGGTATTTATGAAGCAATTTTCAGCTCGCACAAGTCATTTAGAAAAGTGAGATCAAGAACCTCAAAATGTTAATTTGTACATTAGCCAATAGGCAGAGCTGCACTGCTTTCAGTAGATAAAAGAATCATTTTTACAATCTTCCAATTAAGAGATATTTTTCTGGCTCGGCTGGCATGGCTCAGTGGTTGAGCATCAACCTATGAACCGGGTCATGGTTCGATTCCAGGTCAGGGCACATGCTGGGGTTGTGGGCTCGATCCCCAGTGGGGGGCATGCTGGAGGCAGCTGATCAATGACTCTCATCATTGATGTTTCTATCTCTCTCTCCTCTCCCTTCCTCTCTCTGAAATCAATAAATAAAATAATTTTAAAAGTTATTTTTCTGAAATTTCTCAAAAAGGAATATGAAGCAACATAAAAAAATTAGTTTTTGTTATTTTCCAGGTTTAAATATGATACGTTAAATAAGCAACACTTATCATCTCCTCAAAGGAGAGCATAGTGTATTCTCAAAAGTAGACCAAACAGTCTTTGTTTTCAATTTTTTTTTCCTGATTATAAGAGTAATATGTATTCACTACAGAAAAAACTTTAAGGCAGAAAAGTACAAAAATGAGTATGAAAATCACACATACTTTTCCCATATACATACACTATTAACACTTTATTATATTTCTTCCAAATAGCTTTTCCATGTGTATTTATTTGTTACATATCATATAAGATTAAAACTTTTTATATAGGTTGTATGTGGATTTTCTAGTATCATTAAAACTCTTTGAAAACACTTTAAAAGTAAGTTTTGATTAAAATAATACATGTTGATTATGACATTTTGAGGGGAAAACAGAAAAAAAGGGAAGAATAAGAATCGTTCATATTCCATCATCTAGAGGTAAACAGCAATATTTTGGTCTTTTCCCTGTGCACAAGTACACACAATGATTTTTTAAAAACAAAATTGAGGTGATTTATATGCAGATTTTCTTCATTTAATATATTGCAAACATTCTTCCATGACAGTATATATTTAAATCATTTGTGAGATTTTAAAATATCCCATTATGTATATGTACCATAATTAACTATGTAACCTACTGAGGGACAATGAGATTGTATTCAATTATATACTATTATAAATAATGTTACAATAAATGTCTGGTCCATAAATGTTTGCCTGTATCACTAATTAGTTCCTTAGTATTCCTAGAAAAGGAACACAGGGTCAAAAGATATGAACTTTCCAAAGGTTCATAATAATAAATTGTCAAATTACTTTCCATATAAGTCAGATCAATTTATATTTCCATAGCAGTACATGAGTGATTACATCATTCTTCACTTAAAGCTACAAACTCACTTAACATACCTGTGTAAATGAAATCTAGAAGTATTCGAAATATTCCGGCTTCAATTCCTAGAATCTGTACAACATCTTTTGAGGACTCTTTCATTCCTCCAGTGAACAAAGCTGCAAAGTAAGGACTACTGGCAGCCAGAACCAGCCGATGAACTTTAAAAATTTCCTCCCCAACTTGTAGCTGTACATCACAGAAATGCTGTCCACTCCTCATTTTATTGATCTGGGCCAAGATGAGTTGGGCATGTTTATCTGATGAAAAAGGACTATCGCCAGCCTTGGGACAGCCCTCATTAGCCATGATGATGATAAATTAATTTAAAGGACTGCTGCCCATAATCTGGTCCTCCCCTAAAAAACAAAACAGAAAGAGACCGAACAACATATTTTTGAGTTTAACATGTCTTTTATTCACATACATATGAAACATTCCCTATCCTCAAGGAGCTTACAATCTACTTAGGGACATAAAACACACATGAAACAAATAAGAACTAAACTGTGTGGTACCATTCCGAGGGTTTCAGAGAAGGAAATAAGTAATGGGCTCTGAAAAAATTGAAGGACACTTTACAGGAGAAACGGGACCTGAACTGGATACTGAAAGATAATGAGGAGAGGGCATTAGCCCTTCTGGGTGGAGTAAATAAGGAGAGGCACAAAGGAAGACAGAAACTTTTGAACACTGCAGTAAGGAAACACACACTGCAGCCACAATGAACTTTCAAAAAACCAACTGGGTGCCCTAGCAGGTTTGGCCTGGGGACTGAAGGGTCCAGGGTTCGATCCCAGCCAAGGGCACATACACCATTTGTGGGCTCCATCCCCGGCCCTGGTTGAGGCATGTGCAGGAGGCAACCAGTCGATGTATCTCTCTCACATCCATGTTTCTATCTCTTTCCCTTCCACTTTCTCTGAAAAGCAGTGGAAAAAAGAAAAAAAAGAAAAAAGCAATTGTGATCAGGGCAACTGTTTGCTTAGAATCCTTCAACTTGTACATTTCCTTTAGCACACAAAGCCTTCAAATCTCACCTCTGACTACCTATCCAGTCCTATCTCCTATACTCCTCTTTGAACTTATTAGGCCAACAAAACCTAATGATTTGCAGTTCTCTAAAAGTGACTTTCATGGCACCCTTCCATGCCTTTTCCTTCTGGACCTTTGTTATAATCAAGACTGTTCAAGTAGAATTTCCTTCAGGAACTCTTCCCTGTTACTCTTTTCTCTGGGTGGGGTGCTCACGCTAAGCCTACCTATTTTATAACCTATATCACACTCTATGTTGTCAGACACTCTATCACCCTACTCCCTACTTTTTCTCTCTCTCTCTGAAAGTTCCTTGAAAGACAGCCCCTTAGAAGGAGGGACTATCTTTCATAGCTATAGCACAAGAATCTAACATATATTAGGTTTTCAAGTGTTTGTAAAATGAATGAGTACAGTGAGAAATAACAATAGCTTTGTTACTAGGTTGTTTTAGTATAACTCTGATAGCTTTTCCACACAGTCAACTGTAATTCTCACAATAATTAAGAGGCTGGAAGAAAAAGATACCGTTATTCAAAATGAGAGAGAGGGAAAGTTTCCCAAGGACACAGTGCTTACTCTAAAAAATCCTGGGCTCTTCCCACCATATCACATGCATAGGAGTAATTACACCAGGTTATAGAGAAACCCAAGCACAGAAATTTGGACCCGAGCTCTTATAGGTTCATCAAGAGTAAACATAACGTCTCAAAACTGTTATCTGAGCCTTCAGGGGGATAAGTCAAGTCCTAAAACGCAGCCTTTCAGCTTCAACAGTGAGAATCAAAGATATAAACCCAAGTTACTTTTTGAATAAAGAAAGCATGTAATTCAGTAATATAAGAGATAAGGTGATAAAACACCGGGGAAATCTAAGATGACTAAGGTTTTGTAATTAAGGCTGACAGGAACAGACTGGCAGGAATGGTGTGGGCTGATGTTAGAAAAAAGTGGTTAAGTCTATAGCATTCAAACTTATCAAAGTAAAATAACTAAGCTGACTATCATGATTATCTAGGAATTAACTTGCTGAGAAATTTGATCGAGAAGTTAATAAGGCGGCTGCTAAAACTTCACATCAGCATCTACAGAATGTCAATATATTACATTACTGGCATAAAAAAGCAAACACTGTATTTGTCTCTACACAGAAATTTGACCTGCAGATATTATTTATTAAACAAGACCTGGCTATAAAGCTTCATTCTGTTTTAGATTTCTTCCTGTCAGTAGATTTTGGACCCCGGTGGTTTAATTACAAGGGACCTTCAAGGCATCGAGCGCAGCCACTGGCTAAAACGTTGCCTCTTGCTACTACGCGTTCACTAACTATCCACCGACTCTGGTAGCAGACACCAGATATCCTAATCTATTACCAAGCTTCTTAGAAACTGCTGATACTACCAGCAGTGTACTTCATTCCGAAAGGCGCAGGTGGTGTGAGCGCTTTTGCGCAGGGAAAGGTCCTAATTCCGGGACACTGCACAGGGAAGTGAAGAGAGGGGCATCCAGAGTCACAGGCAGATTATTAGGAAACGGTGGAGCAGCCCGGAGAAAGTAAAAAAAGACCTAAGTTTGGTGGTCTTGAAAAGCACGAAGCTACTTCTGCAAAAGGTGTCAGAAAGAATCCCAGGCCGAGCAAGCGTCAAAACAAACAAAACCACGAGGCTCTTGGCGCTTGACCTGGAGGCGGGACCTGGAGTTACCCGCGAGCTGCTGCGACCCTGAAGGCGGATAAACAAGCCGCCGCTACCGAAGCGGCGGGCAAGGCATCTCGGGCCTGGGGAGAGCAGTCTGGCCCGGGGCTGGGCCAGCGGATTCCCCAGCGGCGGCCGGGAGCGGAGCGGATCCGACGAGGCTCCGGTGAGGGCGAAAACACTTGGACTAGCGGAGGCACGCCTTAGCGGCCGGAGGAAACCCTGTTGCAGAGGATCCTCTCTTTCTCCTCCTCAGGGGTCCCGAGAGCCGGGAGAGGCCTGGAGGAAATCCCCAACCCCGTCCTAGACGCACCCGGGACGCAGGCCCTCCTTACCCGCCGCTT